AGCAGGCTGCAGATTGGAGGTAGACTTCGCAAGCTGAAGGGAGATGTAGGGAACCATGCCACTCCCAAGACCGCTTGTGTTTCGCAGCCACGGTGCGGTGCTCACCTGATTGCCAAACTTAGCTAATCCAAGCCGTGCGAGATATATAGGACCAATGCAAGCAAGCCTACCGTCTATCTGATGCTGGTCAGACAGTAGACTGGGCACAACTTCACCGATTAGGCCCTTGAGCTCACGATCAAGCATTCCTCGCCTCCCATCACGGTCTGGAGACGCTGCATTTGTGTCTTTGGGCCTTGTCTTGTCTTTGGGCCTTGTCTTTGGGCCCAAGCAAGGCTCTCAAGGCCAATTTGAACGCTCCCTCCCCCTCCCCTCCCTCCCCAGACAGGAGCCCCCATGACTAGAGGGAAGCGCCCTAACCTTCCCCAGGTTTTGATTGTGGCTCCCCCCAGAAACGCGCACCGTCCCCCCGCGCCTCATATGAATTGCGACCAACCTGTTCATTTTCATACGGGGGTGGTTTTGGCCCGCACAAAAACCATGGACACACCCATATTAATCAACAGGAGTTTACCACTGGAAAGGGGACCGGTTCTCCCAGGGTAAGGATTAGTGATTGCATTGAAGAGCCCAGGCGTTGTGACTTAAAATGCGACATACTCGTAAGCAACTGGCTTGTCAAAATCATGGGTTCCTGTCAACATAAGAAGTATTCGCAAGCAACTGGGTTGTCAAAAGGGACCTCACTGAAATGATGTTCGTTCTTTTTGGCTTCCCTTTGCCAACCAAAAGGGGGTTCCGAAAACACGGACACGCCCAAATGGAAGATACCCTCATACCCTCTGCCCAAATCGAAGTGGACGACCGCGGGCTTTCCCAAAAGGACAGTCTTCCAAAAACCACCCAGATCCACCCAGCTTCCACGGGAGGGTACTTGAGGTTGGCAAAACTCATTCCCCTTGAGAGGTGTGGCCTCAGAATGTCGAGTAATCCACCCATTTGGGGAGGACATGGCTCACGAACTGTCCACAACTGTGGCTAGAGAAATGGTACTGGGAGTGGAACGGCTTCCCTTTCCTTGGCCCAACTGAAGCAAGTGCTTCGATGGTGCTTCATATGGCAACCTGATGTTTCGAAGAAGCTGAGGCGACCCCCATGCACTTGAAAAAGAGGGCGTGCCTTTTTGTTGAGGCTCGGCATCTCCTTTGGGTATGGTGTTGCAGGGAGACAACCGGAAACCCAGCAATTGTGAGGGTCGCTCCTTTGGATGGGCGAAATCCGTTCCACCACTTTCACGAGAAACCATTGTTTGTTGGCATTTACAGGGAAATCGACTCATTCCAGTGCTTCTGAACGGTGGTGCCCAAGCGGATTTCGCAACCCTCCACAGTATTTTGAGACCCTCCCCATAGCACCGAAAGCGCCTGAAGGGACCCAAAAAGGCCTTACTAAGGGCTTAAGGCCTTTTCGGGCTCCCTCTCCCAGCCCCCATGAGCTAGGGATGGAAAACCTGCTTGGCCAAGCCAACCCATTTTGAACCGACAGGAGCTGGCGGAGCGTTTTGGGGGCGGCGACATGATCAGCCACTGCGCGGTCTTGGGCGCCTGCGGCGAGCGACAAACGCAACGGTTGCCACTGCTGCGGGGCTTGAGGCAGGGGCATGGAAACCAAAAAACCGACCTGCTGCAACCAATGGGTTTTGATTTAGGACCTGCTGAAACCCAAGCGGTTTTGATCTAGCCTGTTGGTTCTTGGTGCTTAAGCCATGGGTTTTTTGATTTAGCTTGTGGTTTCTTTGGAGTTGTTTGGGTCTGCCCTCTTGTGTTTAGAGGGTATGACCCACCAAAAAGGGGTGGTTGAACACTTAAACCATGGTTTCAATCAAAAGCTGGTAGGAGAAAGCTAGCACAGTCCCAGCCAGAAACAAGTTTGGACATCCGCTTTTGACAATTCCGTGCATGGATTTTGGTAGACCAGTTTGATACCATATTTTGGTTGCTCAATTCACCTGATGTTTCTTGGCTGGTGTTCTCAACTGTTCAAAGCCGACCTTTTGGCGTTTTTAGTTTCCCCCGTTGGCCAATTTTTTGTCAGGGCCCCAAAAGGTTGACCTTTATTTCTGAGTCCTCTTGGACTGAGATTCACCTGTTGTTTCTTTGCTGTTAGTTGCAGGTAACCCTTGACTGGCTGTTTGAATTGGTGGCTTGGGGATTTGTAGAGGGTACGTGGGGAAGCCACCCCCTAACCACCAATCCAATCCACGAAGTAGCAGGAAGCTGAGACTGATTTTCTGGGAAATGACGTGATTATGTTTTCCATCAAGCGGGGAAGGGCTTGGGCCTGAGCCATCCAGGTTTTTTTCTTCAGGGTCTGGCAACCGGTTGAAGCCAGCCTCAGGCAAAGGCTCCTGCTCAGCCTGCGTGAAGTGGTTGCGCGAGAAACGCGGCTGCCATAGAAACCCATGGTTGAAATTCTGCAGGAAGTTAGTTCAACCCCCCCCCCAAGAAAGAAAACAACAGACGAAAGTAAAAACGGCTGGATGAACTTCCTGTAGAGTTTCCCATGGTGATTTCTGAGAGGCAATTTTCGAAGTTCCTCTTAACCACTGCAAGGAATCTCGTTTTGCAGCCACTCACGTTGGATTTCCATTCCCAGGGCCACCAAGGGGGATTTATCCGCGCCAACCGCTCCTTCTCGGAGCGGCATTTCCTTTGATGAGTTTTGCCCCCTGTGAGTTTCCAGCGCATTTTTCCCTTGTGAGGGTGACCTGAGGCTGTCCTCACGAGGAGTTTTGATCGTACAGCTCGGTTGCGGCTCTTAGTGAGCAGCCACCGGGTCTCATCGCGCGGCCAGAAGTGGGAAGCCAGAAGACAGGGAAAGGACAACAGACGTAAAGTAGGGCACCCGACAACCACTTCTGGCCGAAGGGCCATTGGGCCGTCGGCTGGGGCCTGAAGACCGGGTCGGCTGTACAGCAGTAGCGCCTGGCGCGAGAGTTTTGTGTCCGAACCAAATGGGGGTCTTCCGTTTGCTGATCTCATTCTGGTGCCCTTCCGGAAGTGCCCTTCCACACCATCGTAGATGTACCTTGGACTGGCCCGCGTGTCCTTTCTTTGGTGTGTCTTTTTCTTTTTGAGCATACCTTGCCACCTTCGGTTTCAAAGGGAATGGGATGTATGACTATCCGTACCAACTTATGTTGATGATGATGATGCTGATCACTGTCAATGATGTTTCTGGTGTCGATGATGTTTGTGCTGATGATGTTGCAGCTGATGCCCCGGTTGATGATGATGTTGTTTCTGTTGACGATGATGATGCTGATGATGCTGTCGATGTTGATTGCAGCTGGTGCCGCTGTTGCTGAGACTCTGAGATGTGTTGCTGATGATGATGATGATGATGAGGCTGTCGATGATGTTTCCTTCGATGATGTTGCGGTTGATGCCGAGGTTGATGCCGAGGTTGATGCCGAGGTTGATGCCGAGGTTGATCGAGGTTGATTTTTTTTTTACACAAACATATACAGAAATATTTTTTTATGATTATACTGATGATGCTGATGGTGCTGATGATGCTGTCGATGTTGATGCTGCGGCGGTGCCGCTGTTGCTAATGATGTTATTGTTACTGATGATGACATTTCAATGATGCTGTCGATCATGTTTCTGTGGACGATGTTGCGGTTCAACCGCGGCACCAACCGACATGATCGACAGAAACACCAGCAACAACATCGTCATCAACAGCAGCATCCACCGCAACATCACCAACAGAAAGATCATTGACAGCATCATCATCATCAGCAACAGCAAAAACATCATCGTCAGCATCATCATCCTCATCATTGTGATCATCATCAACAGCAGCAACAACATCATCAACCGCGGCGCCAACCGACAATGATGAGGATGATGATGCTGATGATGCCTCCGTGATGTGTCTGTCGATGATGTTGTGGTTGAGATTGTGGTTTTTGTTTGTTGTTGCTGTTGTTGTTTGATGGTGATGATGATGCTGCTGTCAATGATGTTTCTATTGGTGGTGTTGCGGTCAGCTGCGGTTGATGATGCTGATGATGCTGATGATGCTGATGATGCTGATGATGCTGATGATGCTGTCGATGCTGATGATGTCGCAGCTGGTGCCGCGGTTGATGATGATGTTGTTGTTGCTGCTGATGTTTCTGTCGATGTGTTGCGGTTGCCGCGGTTGATCTCCTTGATTTCTTGTCATAGGTGTCCTGTTTGGTTGCTTTGCTCGAAAAAATGGATGGCGATTCCTGGCTTACCTGGTGTTTTACTCATCTACCAGGGAAACCCATCTATTTCCCCTAGAAGGACCCCGATGTTTCTCGCAAGGATGTCTCACGCAGGACTTCGCCCGGGCCTTCCAGACGCAGTTGGAGGACCTCGGCCCAGGTGGGACGGGGCCCCGTAAAGCAGACTGCACGAATGGAACCCACCAGCCGGAAATTGGAGGAATTGAGGCCAAGGTTGCAAGCATTGGGAGGATACCTGAAAAGCTCAATTTCCTTTTGAAGTTGAAGAGATCCTAGGATTCATGTTCCCCAAACCTCCAAGCGCCAATCAAGGCGAAAGTCGACACAAAACCGTCCAGTGAGATCTTTCAGAAGATTGCCCTGCCGCAAGCAAACCTACCTGAGGTCCGACAGGAAAGGAGTCTACGGAGGGAAACCTTTGCAATTGCGGGACGTTCGTGCTTGCCCATTCTACCATCATAGTATTTAGAGTATCTGACTTCCTGAGTTCCTAGACTCTAGTCGCCTCTTAGGTACTCTTTTTAGTGGCAAGTGATGGTTGGGATTTTGTTTGGCCAACCCCCTCAGGAAGTGAGGTATGGGTAGGTGTTTCAAGCAAGATGGACTTGCACAATGCATCTCAAGTTGTTCAGTTATCAGCATTTCTGTTTGTTGCCGTGTCTTTCTTTCTTCCTTCCTTCCTTTTTTCCTGCCTTCCTTTCTTCCTTCCTTCCTTCCTTTCTTCCTTTCATTCTTTCTTTCTTTCTTTCTATCTTTATTTATTTCTTTCTTTCGTTATTTCTTCCTCTATTTATTTATGTATTTATTATTCTACTTATTTCTTTCTTTCTTCCTTCATTTCTTTCTTTTTTCTTTCTTTCTTTCTTTCTTTCTTTCTTTCTTTCTTTCTTTCGTTATTTCTTCCTCTATTTATTTATGTATTTATTATTCTATTTATTTATGTATTTATTTCTTCCTTCATTTCTTTCTTTATTCCTTCATTTCTTTCTTTTTTCTTTCTTTCTTTCTTTATTTCTTTCTTTCGTTATTTCTTCCTCTATTTATTTATGTATTTATTATTCTATTTATTTATTTCTTTCTTCCTTCATTTCTTTCTTTTTTCTTTCTTTCTTTCTATCTTTCTTTATTTCTTTCTTTCGTTATTTCTTCCTCTATTTATTATGTATTTCTTCTTTTATTTCTTTCTTTCTTTCTTCCTTCATTTCTTTCTTTCTTTCTTTCGTTCTATCTTTCTTTATTTCTTTCTTTCGGTATTTCTTCCTCTATGTATTTATGTATTTATTCTTCTATTTATTTATTTCTTTCTTCCTTCATTTCTTTCTTCCTTTCTCTTTGTTTGCTTGGTTCTTCGTTTCTTGGTTCGATCTTGGGAACGAGGGCCCTGAGAGGCGTGGAGTCGAAGAGCGCGGAGTTCCTGGAGCTGCTGAAGCCCGGAACCCCCGGTGGTTTTCTGAGCGAATTCGCCTGGCCGTGGGCCCTCCCTAAAGTGGTCAATAGGGGGGCCTATGTGTTTGTGTGCGTGTTTATTTTTGTTGGGCTTCTTTTTTTTTCCCGGGGGGGGGGGGGGGACCTAATGTTGGTTGTTCTTTTTTGTGTTTGTGTGTTTTTGCTTCTTTTTCCGGGTGGGGGGACCTAATGTTGGTTGGATTCCAGAGGAAAGAAACCAAAGGGAGATTCACCATTCTGAGGGGTTTCAGAGTCATTTGGCAGCGCCAATTTTGGCGATCGTTTCAATGGACACCCACCAGTAAATAGATCAACGTTTGCCAACTTTGAGTAAATGTCCCAAAAGGTGATCACCTTCTATTTTCCAGGTCGCTAAGGGCAACTGAGTAATTGGCTTGGTTTGGACTGGCTCTTGTAGATGCAAATGGAGAGCGCCACGCAAAGGCCCGCGGGTTGTGCGAGACTCGGAGCCGTAAGCCAGATGGGTTTGTCGCTTCTTATTTTGGAGGCTCGGTACCAGCTTTTTGCTTTGGTCTACCGAACCCGTTTTGGGTGCCCCCTAATTTTGACACTTTGACACATACATCATAGCTAACTCTACTTGGTGGCTTGGATCTGGTTCTTGTCGAGGGTGCCATGGGCTTGGTCACCCCTTATTTGCAGAGAGACCGACCCTTGTCAAAGGTCCATGCTCCAACATGGGCTGATATGGCTGTGGTTGTCAAGACCCATCAAACCCCTGGTGACCATCAAAATAGGTGGAAATCAAATGGATGTTCATCCACCCCAAAATGGGATCGCCATAGGTAATGCAACCCATGGCCATATCCTGGTTTGGTCCCTTGGTCCTGGGCTTCCAACAGGTGAACCTTTGAGTTCCAGGGCCCTTTGGGCAGCCAGTGCTTCTGCTAGGTTCATTGGGGTGAGAAGTAAAGCGTGTCTCTCCTTCTCTCTGCGTTGGAGGTCAACGTCGATTGGTTTTGGGCGCAGGTCCTGTGATCCAACTGGTGGTTTCCTTTCTGGGGATTATTAGGGTGAAGGGTTGACCATGGTTACAGTCGGGTGAAAGTGATCAGGTGACGAATTCAATTCCGCAAGATTAGTAAACCCCTGGTTGATGAATAGGGGGGGTCCTGTTTCAGTGGGGGTTTAAATGTTTAAACATCTCCCTGCGCGTCATGTCAAACATACTGCCCAAGTTGAGGAAAACCTTGCCCGGCACGGCAAAACTACTGTCCAAGGTGGCAAAAGCTCTTTGCCCGACACGGCCTCAAAACACCGCCCGACATTGCCAACATATTTCCCAAGTTGCAACGTACTCCCTGTCTGACACAAGGTGTGCACACAAACCCCTCTCGAGATCCTAGAAAATCAAACAACCATTGCACCGGATGATTGTGAATTAGTAAGCACTCGCGGGGTGAGGAGAGGCTTGTCCCCCTTACCCGCTCACCCCTGACCCCAACTTCTTCGCTTCGGGGGTCTTGGGACCTTTGAACACCTCGGGCTTCCACCTCCGTATCGACCTCAGGTGAATAAACACGTCCTATCAATAAGGGGCTGCCCTTGGCTGCAAGGCTAGAGTCTAGAGAGCGCAAGCCAACAAAAAAGCAAAAAAGAAGAAGCAACACAAAAAAAAAAGAACACACAAAAAAAACAACCCCCCCAAAAAAAAAGCATGAGGGGTTCGGGCTTCTGGGGTCAGGAACTGCGGGATCTTCCACGAGCTTTTCTTCCCTGCCCGGCCCCAAGGGCTTGCGATCGCAGTTTGG